TTACGGGTAGCTTTAATTGTTCTGTCTACTCCTATATCGCTACACTTGAATTGTATTATTAGAAGTAATTTGGTATTACATGTTGCGGCGCGGCAGAATGGGTCAGATGTTAAGCACATGCAGTTAAAACTTTTTTTCCAACAGAAAATAACTCGTAGAAATTTTGACCGTCCTATTGGGTCAACGTGTTTCAGCATTCAAATTACCAATCACCTAGATCACATTAATTTCAGATGTTTGCTTACTATTTTTAACTATCCCACTGTTCTTTTCTAATTCACCTGTCCGTTCTCGACACCATACCAGTCCAGATGGTTGTCTCCTTGTTTCCATGAGTTCAGGTTCGTGTTGGTGCCTCCGATTCTGTGTGAGATGGGGATGGCACACTGGCTGGACGCCGCGTCACTTGTACATCCTGAAATCAGAGCGGATTGTTTGAAAAGAAAGTTTGCTCTTTTCTGATATATTAATATATTGCATCCTAGTTTTTTAAAGTCTTGTTTGATTGTATCTCATTTGTCATGATAATGAACAATATATGTCCATTAAAGAGGGTAAGTAACATCTTTGCGCTCTTTAAACAATTGTGCAAATGAAGTCCATCTTCACATGACCCATGCAAGTTTACAAAAAAAAATCCTTTAAAAACAAAGAAAGCTACATTACAAAGAACCAAAACAATTGCTTTACCGGGTCTAACTTCGTGTCCGATGCCGCCTCTGAGAAACAGGTCCTGTCCGACTGACGTCTGCTTTTTGATGAACACAACTGTCCTCTCTGTTCCCGTCGGGGCGACCTAAACAAAACTCATAGAGTTATGATTACTCCGATGCTTGGCAATATGTTGCTATATCTATGGGCTCGGGGAGCTCAAAAGGCTGCGGAGATCTCAATATCACAAATTGTTATTTTGGCATGAAAAAAAACAGGCTTTACAAAGGTACGAATAGAGGAAAAGTAATATTGTCCATTGCGTTGAACCACTGACCGGGTTAGGGTGTGTCGGGTGGGTCGGGTGTGTAGGATGTGTAGTCACGGGGTCTACTGGGTCGATAACGTTGCCACTGCCTACTTTGGAGCCGACGTGGATGGCGATTATTGGGTCCTCATCATCGCCTTGAAACAAGAACCAAAGTCATTATCAAAACAAGAGCTATCTTTGTCATGATTACATGCATCAAATCTGATCCTAAACCGACAATGAGGAAGTATAGATATGGAAGTAGACCTTTCTTCACGGAATTCTCTGTACATTACCATGGCAACTCACGCGGTGTGTGGATGTTCGTGTATGTTGCCATGGGAACAAATTGGCTTGCCATCAGAAGATATCCGATAGATAATGCAGACATATATTCACCTGCGATGTGGATGTGTGCCCTGCCGTCCCCTCCCACAGTGATGGTCTTTCCCGTGCAGCCTCCGTTAGAGAGATCACCGGATATGATGTCACAGTAGTCTCCAGCGGAGAGACCTGTCTGCAGGGTTGCGTCCAGAGCCGACCAGTCCTCGTTGTTGATGGCGATGAAGCCTCTGTGGAGACCAGGAGAATCAAGCAAGATTCAGATCACTAGAAAAGTACATTGTAGTCAGGAAAACAAAACAGAATAGCTATAAACGATCTGCTTTGCGCTGACTCACAGGCCGCACTGTACGTACATGCAAGTACTATGTACTCTTGACAAATCAGCTTGCTCCCACATTTTACGGCTCAGCCAATCAGAGTTCCGCAAGATTTTACTTGTCGAACAAACAACATAGCGTGCGTTGCATTTAATTGGCTGGAGTCACACCAAATAAGGGCAGCTCATGAATATTTACAGACTTTTTGTTCCGGAGCGTGCTGATTGGTGAGTGTGCTCTATGTATGATCCTGACGTTGGACATTACCTGTCTCCTCTGGAGAAGGCAATCTGGTTGTTGCCGTTGTCCCACCAGTTGTACATGCCGTGCCCGGCGGCCACGTTACGGAACGTCACCATGTTGCGATTCTGACGCCAGCGGTGCTCACACATCTACCGGTACAGGAAGATGTATTTACGGTGAGTACATTTAAATTGCGGTAACCACAAGTTCGAAAACACTGAGGTTGCAAGGATGCCTACAAACGTCGAATATATCATGAGATGGACAGGTTTAAATCCCAATAGATATGAAGCGCTCACCCATCCGTTGTCACAGGTGCCCATATTGTTGATGGGCACGCCCATGGTGTTCCCGCTACCGTCGGCAGGTGGCCCGATCCAGTCGTTCTTGTCCTTCCCGCCTTCCCACCACTGGTCCCAGTAGAAGCTGCTCATCATCCTGACGAAACCGTACGGGAATGCCAGCATGAACGCGTTGGCCATCTGGGGGAAGAAATAACCATGGTTTAATGCTTACACCATGATTGTCCAACAAGTTTTTCAGAGTAAGGCCATGTTGATTTGATTATATGGATGACATCTTCCGGGAACCCCAAAATTGATGCGCGCGTGCGAATAAAAAAAAAAGTTTTGCACAAAAAAAAGTTGTTTTCATTATGAAATCTACGTGGTCATGAGGGTTGAACAAATGGGACGGAATATGGTTTGGCGAATAATCTAGTCTTCAAGTTCATTTCTTTACAATTTCGTCTTTTTTCGTTTGATTTTTGCATTCTACGACATTGGTATAGTTTTTTTGTAACTTACGGTATATTTTTGCTCATTTTGCAACTGTTTTGTACGATTTACAGTATGGTTGAAAACTTTTTTTTTTAAACGGCCGAAAATTCATGCGCGCGCGGATGTCATCCATGTAATCAAATCAACATGGCCTAAGCACTTAATAATTGCATTGTCACATTTTGAAATTCATGTTGAGACTCATACAGGTTATGACAGGTTAGGTTTAGCGTTAATTTTAAAACATGAATAACTCGTCAACGACACAAGATACATCTAAAAACGGATGTCAGTTTTCATCTGCTGGTCGAGAGGGCTTTCCAAAGACACCCTGTGCCTAGGGTTAGGGTTACGGCGCAGGAGGACTAGGGTTAGGGTTAACTTTAAAACATGAATTACTCGTCAACGACACCTAAAAACGGATTTCCCATTTCATCTTTCAAGGCGAAATGACCCTTTTGTCCCACCTTATACAGCCTGCTGTCTCTGAAGGTGAGGATGGACTGTCCGCCTGCTCCATGGCCCCTCTGGTTGTCATGGTTGTCAACGAACACCAGCGCGTTGTTGTCCGGCTGCATGCCCCACCCTTCGCCGAAGTTCCCCAGATGCGCCAGCTTCTGGCCGTTCTGCTTTCTGAAGACGTACCCGAGCTGCATGCCGTACCTGTATCATCACACCGACATGTTACGAGTATCACAATGCCAATGTCAGTTCCAGACAATTTTATTATTTTACTCACCAGCTTCTTATTGTTATCACGCAATCATATTTAACTAGCTGAGTGGTTGCAAAATTTCGTCCTGGAAATTTGTCCCAATTGAAGTTGACGATTTGATGTCAATCATTGATTCAATCATGATCGAACGTTAGAAAAACGGCATATTTCCGTTTCCCTAGAAATTAATTCAATTTGGGAGAAATGATAAAAAGATCTTGTCATGTCTACATTCTGATTTCTAAATGCCACCGCAAGGACATTTTTTGTTGTCTCGTGACATGGTACATTGTACAATATTTCTGATACTTAAAAAACGAAAATCGAAATCATACTTGAACTCCGTGACCCTTCCTAGATGAGTGTACTCTGATGACGAAATCGCCTCTCCGCCCAGGTCGATGACCTCCATGAAGATGAAGGGCCTGGAGCCGGATGGGAAGTAGGCGGTGTTGAGGTCGCTGAGCCGGCCGAAGACGGCGGCCAGGTCTCCCGGCCACATGTGCTTGGCGGCATCGACACGGAAACCGGCAACACCGATGGAGATGAGATAGTTCATGTAGTCTGCGATCTTCCCACGGACGTAGTCGCTACTCAGCTTCAAGTCCAACAGGGCGACCAGGCGGCAGTTACGTACCTGTGGCATGGGAAGTGAAGAAGAGAAAAATCCTGCATTACGTAACCACAAGAGTAACAGACTGATGCGTGTGACTCGGTACGACGGACTGTAACATTAGGAGTGAACCAAAAGAACTCATTTGATTTGTCAAAGTGAACGTTGGACACCAGGATAGGACATGGTGTCCTATTATATGCTTCTAGACATGACCTTATTGTTGTGCCAATGGGCCGTTGTTTTATGAGCCAATTCGCACGAACAAGAGCAATGGTTGCATTCTACTATTGTTTACCACCATATACCCTAGCGTAAGACCTATGCACATTCATCCTTTGCAGTTGAAAAATCTAACCTGATTAGCGTCGCCATAGTTGTGAATGTTGCAGTCACTGGTGCCGCACGTTCCGCAGTCGTTGAAGTCATTTGCCCCGAACGGCACGCCGGAGAACTCCAGGCTGTCGGTGTTGAAGTAGCTGCCGCCCGTCCCGTGTCCCGAGCCGCCGGCACCGCACATGTGGTTGATGACCACATCCACGTAGATTCTAATATGTGCATAGAGTTTCTGATTTTTACTTCCACACGATACACGACAGTGTACGAGTTGACTTATTTTCCATCAGAAAGACGACAATTGTACCTATAGTTCCATCACTTCATACCTTCGCCAAATCATGTTAACCTTTACAATTACGCATTCCAAAGAGTTCTCCTTGATTATGTTAAAAATGGAAAGAATACCCTCCTCCCAACTTGGAGGTGCTCATTTAGCACCATTCGAAAGCAAAAGAAAATGTTTGTACAAAGCTGGAAAGATAGCACATCGACAGCTTTATGTCATACATTAGAAAGGTACTATTGCCACCTTCTGGTTACGTCACGCCTTGCAGACGTGTACAGAGATATGCTATTTATACATGTACTGATCATGACTTACGGGTGCCACATGACTTGTTTTAGGGCACCTACATTATTTATTGACGTATTCAGTACCTGACTCCCTGCTGGTTACAGCGGTGAACCATGTCTTTGAACTCTTCATCGCTGCCACTCCGAGTGTTGAGGTGATAGCTGATTGGCTGGTAACGCTCCCACCAGGGGCGGTTGGGACTGGTGATCACACGGTTCTCGTTCGCTGGCGACACCTGGCGGAGATTCAAATTCAAGTCATGCACATCTACTGTACTTCATGAACCGGTTAAGAAGTCGACAGACTTTCAGATGTATGTAAATTGTACCAAGACTCAATGCCTTATTTTCTTCAGTGTGCATACATGCGTCGTCTCAACCAGTCAATGAACGTCAGCTTATTTTTTTGGCGACACCTTAGGACCGGATGTATTTTTGTGTAGTCTTACGATTACTCTGAAAGTATTTCAACATCTAACACATGCTGGT